CCCGAGAGGGCTCCTCCTCTTTGGTGGGGTGTCGATGATGACGCAACGCGGCGGCTCGGTCGCGTTTCCACTACCGCTTTCGCTTTACGCTTACACCGCATAGTATTCTGGGGGAATAGCGGCCTGAAAATTTCGGAGACTCTAGACTGCGCTCTAGATAGAAATAGGCTGAAATGGTGGAGGGGGAAAAGCGAGAGAGACGGAGAAATAAGGCTAGTCGCCCTTGCTGTACTGGGAAAGAAGAGAGAAAACAAGGGATAGAGACTGGGAAAGTGATGGAGATCCCAGAGTGCCATCCAGCAAGATATTTGGAAAAGGGATTTTGGCCGGCAGCCAAGACGATCGGCAGGGAATGGGTGAGAAAAGAAAAGAGAGCCGAGTCTGGACGCTTCCGTCCGCTCCGTCCACTATACGAATATTGACAGCCGAGTTGGTGAGAGTGTGCTCCAGGAGAGGGATTCAGACAAGAAAAGAGTCTAGAAGGGACCCCGGAAAGACTCGAAATTCGTCACGACGGCCATTTCAGCACGGAGTGAAGGGAAGAGGGAGCTGAAGGGGTGAGGCTAAAAATGTACGTATCGACGAAAAGAGGAGACACAATAAAAGATGGGGATTTCGAGGGTTTCAAGGGGAATTTTGAAATGAGACACAAACAGAAAAGTTATGGAATCTGATGGAATTGTCTGGCTCAATTGCTGACCTGATCTACAAGAGACTTTGGATCAATAAGTTTCGAGGCTTGCAGAGATGTTCTAACAAGTACGACCTATCCTGGCTATTAGCTAGATAATAAAACTGATTGAAGTGTTCGATAATGCGAGAAAGCAAGTGGTTTCACCCAGGAATGTTTCTCAAGAGATTCAAGAAAGATCTGGGTCACACAGACACCTTTCTCACTTTCACTTTAAGAAATTTGTTTCTTTTCAAGTGAAAGTTTCGCTTTTGGGAAGATTCTTGACGAAAAGTTCGAAAGACGATCGAAATCTGAGAGAAAATCGAGGTGAAGGTCATTGGGAAAGAGGTGGAAGGGGGGAACGCTGGGAAAGTTTGACTCAAAGAGAATGATTTATATTTTAAGTTCGACATTTTCTAAGCTGGAACGCATGCTATTGTTTGTGGGTGTTGGATCTTCACTTAGCCACAATTGATTTTGTACTGTTGTCGTGATGAAAGTGAGTAAACTGTGCGGGATTGGGCCGTTCATTTTCGCTTTTTAGTGGCATGAATCTATCTAAAAGCTATCTGGGACCAGGATAACGGTATTTTTCAAAAATTGACAGCTTTTCGGAATTAATATTTAAGAGAACAGTTTTTGGAACGCGGACAAAAGTGAAAACTGCAAGAATGAATGTGTTCGATCGTTCGTTTCTTTCTCTCGAACATTTCACGTGTTTCTTCTGACGGATTCTTGAATTCTTGAATCGAAATCTTGATTAGGTACAGTCAAAGCCAGGTTAACTTTTTTAGATCAACATTTTCAGGCTAAAAAAGATCAAACACACTCGATTCGTTTTTGATAAATATCGATTAAAAGCTGTTAATAAGTGTACCAGAAAGCGTGCTTTTGTGAAAGGTACGAATCAAACTTTACAAAACAATATTTTCCCCATTTTGTGGTAGGTGCATGCCAACTAGCCCTCAGAAGTTTTTGCCTGAAAATTCCTATAGTTTAGCTCACACACGAGATCCCACAAAAAGCATCGATGAAAAATGAAAAGCTGGGGAAAATTTATTCCCAAAAAAACTTCACCCAAGCAATTATGCTCACCATAAAATCCCTTTTTGCTAACTTGGCAAAAAATAGAATCAACAGGCTTTACGATGGCAAAAAGTGAGAAAAGAAAAGAAAAGAACAATAGTTTTGATTGAAAATTTTTTTTCTAGCTTGTTTTTTTAATTCAACAAAAAACTATCCGAAAATTTGTATTTAAAGAAGTTAATGTAGCGATAAGAAACAAGCAAAATCTCGCAAAAGACAATGATAGTGATGCATTTAGTTGTGCTGACTGACTGAGTCTTCTGCTGTGTCTATCTGTCACCCTTTTGGGTGAGGGTGGTCCCAGTCGGTACCATCTCGCCGTCTCTCTTCACTCTCTCTTCACTCTCTCTGCTCCTCTCTTTCCCCATATCCCCACCACATCTCGTACCATTGCCACCAGGTTGCACCCCATCTCTTTCCCTCTCTTTTTCTCCTTGTTCTTCATTTTTCTTCTTCTCCTAATCTTTAAAGGTTATCCCAACGACAAACTATCGAAATTTTTACCGAGTTGAGATTTGAGACTAGACTTGCTCATTTGCCAAGCTATTGCCAAGTAGAAGCTACACTAAATACTCTCATTTCGCCAGTTTTCTTTAGTATTTTCCCCCGAGACTCGATTCAAACAGTGGCAATTTAATGCACTTTCGAGAACAGTGCAAAGAAGCGAATGCTTAAAAATTTCAAGTGAAACAACTAGCACAATCACTGGGGCTTAGTTAAAATAGCACCGCCAAAAAAGCGCCGTTCAAAACAGCGCCAAATTTAAAGATTTTAATGTAGACTAACCACGACTCTTTTGGAGTTTTCGATAAAAGCTTTAGTTTTTTGCGCATTCTCAAGTAAAATAGTAGATGAAAACTTGTTTATTCAATTAACGAAATGAAAAAATGAAACAACGAAGTTAACACATATGAATGTAACAACATAAAGATTTTAAATGATCGACTGGACTCAAAGATCCATTTTGAACCGCAACTTTTCTTACAAGCTAGTCGGGAAGAACTTACGACGATTGAGGTGATGATTGAGGTAGAGTGCCGAGATGTAGCCGCATCAAGACGTTTTTCGAAGTCTTGAACATCTAGTAGCTTTTGAGCAATATAGTGAGCAGAACATCGTGAAGCAAGAGCCTAAATCTTTAAACATTTAAACAACTTTAAAAACACAAACTTTTAGTAAAGAATGCGTAAGATTCCTGAGACGAGTTGCCAAGTTGTTAGCCACGACAGATTGTATCATACGAGTTCCACGTTTCAATGGGGTCGAACGAAGCGACTATTTTTGAACAAATCCAACAAAAGACTTTTCGAAGTACGAATATAAGCCTAATTCTAAAAAATTAAATTTATAACAAAGATAAACAACAAACTTTATAATTTGTTAATAACGGAGGGTATTGTTTGAAGGCTTTATCTCGAGGTACACGAAAATATCGCTCGATGTAGAAAAAGATGACATTTTGCGGGAAAAGTTGCTTTTTATATGCTCAAAGGGACTTCCAGGCTATGCAAATTTGTGCAAGTGCGTGGCAGCCCTTCCAAAAGAATTTCATTTTTTTGTTCCACTCGCGCTTTGATCCGTTGTTGTTGTTGTTTTGAATTGATTTTGCAAGCATCTGCAAATTTCTTCTTGGCAAGGACGCTCGATTCTGCTCACTTTCCGCGTTTCCCCTTCCCTCTGCTTCCTCCTCAACGCCCCAATCCCCGCAACGCTCGCTAAATAAAGACCGAGTGCCCGTCTAAAATCACTATATTTTATTTTCACAAACCCTTCAGCGGCAAGCAATGTTACAAGTTGTAATCCTTAGAAAATTCTGGCACATTTGTGTTTTTGAATGAAAATTTCCCGAAAATCGACTTAAAAAATCTCCCCATTTGTACATTTCGTTTTTATTAGCTTCCCCTGCAAACGTTTAATGCTAAGTAAAGAAATTATTCAAGTTTTGAACTGAAACTTTACTGGATTACATAGGAACTGAAATTCCTGCGATTATGCTTTGTTTAACTTCATTTTGTTACTCGATCCAATTTTGTTTCCTTTAGATGAACCAACCGACGATCGCCAACACCGGAGACGATTCCCCGCCAAAAGCACCGGTCAACTTTCGTCCAATTCGGATCAAAATCGGCGTTTTGGAGAAACAAGAGGGAACAGCCTACGTCTCGTTCGGGAAAACGGAATGCGTCGTGCAAGTGGTTGGACCGAGGTGAGAATTTTAAAATACAATTAGTACTCTTTGGTTGATTACAAGCTTGTGTGCCTATTTATCGGGACTGTTTGTTGTTTGTCCTTAAACTTCTCTGTTAATAGTCGATGAGAACAGATCTAACACTACGAATGCATAACGGGATAAGCTTTTAAAACGGTTGATCATGTAAATATCTTTCTTGCAAAAGTACACTTTGTTTTTAGATCATCACGTTCACCGCTTGTGGCCGAGAAGGGGAAACTAGAGGTGACGGTGTGCGGAGCGGAGGGATTGGTTGGACCGCTGAAGGACGCGATGACGACAATCATTCAACTACACAAATACCCCCGTGCATCGATCTCGTTGAACGTCTCCGTACTCGCCGACGATGGGGGACTCGTGCCGGTGGCTATGATTGCTTCGTCGCTTGCGCTCATCTCTGCGGGAATTGAGGTGAGGTGACATTTTTGACTGAAGTCTACTTTGAAGCAAATTTCACTTGTAAGCTGCTGGGGATTTTATTCTTTACTCAGTCAATTCATATTTTTCTTTAGGTTTACGATGTCTGCACGGCTGCAAGGATTCTGCTGATGAAAGACGGACAAACGATCGTTGATCCACCGGGTCCAATGCGCGAGCTCCCCGATGGTTCCGTTCTTCTCACCGTCGTCATCATGCCCGAGCTCAATCAAATCGCCTACTCGGAGATTTTGGGTAAATTTCGACCAGTCGAGGTTGAGGCGAAAATCGGCGCAGCTATCGAGGCGGCCAATCGACTGTATCCACTGATCAAGAAAGCTTTAATCGCGCACGTGCAACGACGAATCGATAGCGGAAAGAAAAATTAAATTCCTTATTGTCTTTTTTGATTTGTAGGAAATTTAAAATTTTATTAAAATTTAAAGTTTCTACTTTAGTAAGAGATTTTGCATCTTGTTTTATTGATACACGTGTTATTTGTCTTTGATGATTTGTTGGTCTTGTTTTTGTTTTTACTTTCTTCACATTGTTTCTTTGTTAATATTGTTTTTGATTGTCGAATTTCCAGGTAGAATGGCTCCAATGGCGAATCAGACGGAGAAAATGGAAGTTGACGAGCCAAAGATCGATACAAAGGACAAAGAGGGACAAGACGCGAAAAAAGAGGAAACACCAAAGGATCTCAACGCGGTCGCGCTCGAGAGTGAGTTTTGAAGGTCTTAAAACGAGCAAAATAGAGTAGCTAAAATAAAATCGGACTTGTAACTCTGCGTCCTCATTCCGCGTGATCCATCAATCCATTTCTTTTAGATTTGAAGGAACAATGCGCTCTCTTGGACAAAGGCGAATACTATTTGATCGGTCGAGTGCTTCACGTGTTGCACAAGACGCGCAAGCAAATCAACACCGAGGTAACACTTTTGACAATGGCATATAGATTAATTTTTTGCTTTAGGTTCTACATAAGCTCATCTCGACCACTCCTTTCGCGTCGGCCGCTGACAAGGAGCAATTGCTGAAATGGATCCCGGCTCCACCCGCTAAACCGGCCGCCACTAACGAGATAGCTCCAATGGAAGTCGATGCAAAAGCTTCAAAGTGAGACCTTTGAGATTATATTCTGGCAACCAAATTCTGAATTTTAAAGCTTTAAAGCAGAGCCTACTTTATTCTTAACTTCTAGATCGCCACGTCCATTCCGACGCCCAGCTCTGAGCTCTTCTGAAACGGATCTCTACATCTACTTGCTCACCATGTTGCACTTGTTTGATGTAAACGATTTGGCAAACTCTGAGGAGGCAGCTAAGCATTTGATTCAGTGAGTTTGAAATGGATTTTTACTGAATCAACTTTTTTAGACGTTTCGATCAACTTGACAAACGGACATTGGATCCAATTGTCGCCAAGGCTTACTTCTATTTGGCGCTGATTGCTGAGAAGAATGGCCGGCTCGATGCGGAAAGAGAGTTCGTTTTTAAGTCTTAAAAGACTTGAGTTTTTAAGCAGATTTTGATATTTTGAGCAGTAATGTATTTTATCTAGTTTTCTGAACGCTCGTCTTCGCACGGCCACCCTTCGATGCTACACCGAATCACAGGCGGTGCTCATCTACACCCTTCTGAGAGCGTATCTTGTCGGAAAACACTACCCAAGTGCCGTTAAACTTGTTTCAAAGGTATTTCATTCAAAATCTGAACCTAGTCTTGACAGTGCTTTATGGTATAGTAAACAGTAAACTTTGTTGGTCCAACTACAAGTTCAATAGCAAATATTTTAGGTGACGTTCCCCGAGGGTGCTTCAAATAATGATCTCGCTCGTTTCCTCTACTACCAAGGACGCATCAAGGCCATGCAGCTCGACTATAACGCGGCTGCTGGATACTTTTTACAAGTGGGAGTGTTTGTTTATTGTTTAATTACTTAAATTTAGGCTATTCGCAAAGCTCCCCAGGATTCAGCAATTGGATTCAAGCAAAATGTACAAAAGTGGATTGTTGTCGTTGGATTGCTTCAGGTACATCCTCAATTGCTATGTTAAGTCATTTTTTGTTTAGGGTGAGATTCCCGAGCGCTCGGTATTCCGTCAGCCGATCTACCGCTACTGTTTGGCTCCATATTTGGCGTTGACGCAAAGTGTTCGTGTTGGCGATCTTGTCTCATTCAACGAGATTGTTGATGAACACAATAAGGTGAGTGCTTGAGAGTTTGTACAGAATGGGACAGAATGAATTTTTGGATATCAAAAATATTTTCCTTTTTAGATCTTCGAGAAAGACGAGACGTTGACGTTGATTGTTCGACTTCGACAAAATGTCATCCGGGCCGCCATTAAACAGATTGCTTCCGCGTACTCGAGGATTTCCATTAGAGTTTGACTTTTTATGTTTTACTTGACACATTATTTATTTCAGGACATTGCCACAAAGTTGCAGCTTCAAACCGAAATTGAGACTGAGTATATGGTTAGTGAGCACAACTTATTCTTTATTCTGTTTCGTTTAGGTTGCTAAAGCTATTGCTGATGGAGGAATTGAGGCTCAAATCGTTTCCGAGGGTACTGATGGAAAACGGTTCAGAAAATTGCATTTTTGCCTTTTACAACTATTTTTTTCAGGTATATGCGCAGCAACGAGATGGCGGACGTTTATCGAACTGATGAGCCCCAACATCACTATGACAATCGCATTCGGTAAGGATTATAAATGTATTCAACTTCTATTCCATTTAGCTATTGTCTCGAGTTGCACAACCAGGCCGTGAAGGCGCTCCGTTTCCCGCCCAAAGACAAACCCGATGTGGAGACGATTGAACAGCAACGGGAACGAGAGCAACAGGTACGAGGAGTTGTCTTGATATTTTGGTTTTAATCTTTCATTATAGGAGCTCGAGTTTGCCAAGGAGCTCGCCGAGGAGGACGATGACGATTTCTAAACAACTCCCCCTCCAGCTCAATTGCAACTTTTCAATTCAATCTCTCATCGGTCTTCAATTTTCCCGTCTAATTTAAAATACGGTTGTTTCTTATCGGTGTTTATTTATTGTCTATCTCTTTTTCATTCAGAAATTGCTCTCCTGTTCATCGTTATGTTTTTCCAATAGTTGCTTCTGATTCCTCCCTTTCTTTTTGGGTGAATCCCACTCTTCGACCACTTGTGTGCAAAATCCCTGAAAATTCTATCCGTTTGCTTTTGCGCTCTCTCCTCATTTTCTTTTGCGTGCCCGCTCCACAATGTGATTTGAATAAATTTTTTTACAAAGCTTATTGAATTTGAAGGAGTGGTTTAACGATTAGATATTGGAAAGTATCTGAGACAAGTTGAGGTGACTAAAGAAATCTTTTGGGCAGTGATTGGTCTTTGCTCTGCGCTGGCGTTTGTCCCCTAAATCGCCAGAACTTTCAAATATTCTCTTAAAATAGATTTTAGGCGTAATTTCGCCTCACAAGCCAATCTAACCAGCATAATTTGATTTCGTAGTCGCCAGTTGCTCAGAATCGAAAATATGTGTAGCTAAAGTTTTGTCACCGTTTCGTTATTGCGTTATTTTACAGTGAAATGAGCGGTCGATTGGTGGCAAGGCTGACGGCGTTGATCGATGCTCTACTCGCTCGAAGTGGCTACCCACATCCACCATTTGTGCCGGCCTTGGTGGGTTTTATACATCTTTAGCGATTTCTTATCAGCTTTCAAACATTGCACATTTTAGGCCCTTGCCCCAACGATCTCTCCATTTGATTCACCAGCCTCCTCTTCGTCATCTCGATCAATTGGGGATCTCGTTCGTGAAATGAGCGTTCTCTGGGGTGTGCCAAAAACGAGAACAACAAAACGTGAGCAATTTTGACCAACTAGTCCGTAAAATGTTAATGAAGCATTGATGCGAGCTAGGGTTAATAATCTTAGATTCATGAGATAGTGAAAAGCCGTTAAGTGTAGCTCAACTATTGTAACCATATAATTTAGCTGTGAAAGCGACGCGCAAATTCTCGTACACGCGGATCATGGCACCGATCACCGGTATTGTGACGTGTCCGTCTTGTGGATCGAAACATTTGGAGGAAACGATTTGTGGGACGTGCTATGAGAAGGTTTGTCTAGTTTTAGTTTTTAGCATTGCTGGACAAGTTTTAGAGCTATAAAGGAAGCTTACAAAGTGTGGTTGATAAAATCAAAGTTCTTGTTTAGGTTCGCGAGGTAACCAATTCGATCAAGGAGAAAATGATGGCCTACAATCCGTACAAGGGCGATCGACAGGATAAAGAGGTCAGTTGGAACATGTAAAAAGCCTTGGTTGCTTTGGATGGCTGGAATAAGTTCTGATTTCATTTTCAGATATAAGAGTGCTTAATGATAGATTCTTGACTACATATTAAATTTCACTTTTTCAGGTGTTCCTCCGATTCAGCGATGACGTGAAAGACGGTGAGGATGAGGGAGTGGTGAAAGGGAAAAGAGTGATTGAATTGGAAAGACCTCGACCATCATGGTTCAAGAGGATCTTCCCGAATAAATAGATGAATTATCAACCTTTTTTGTTTTTCTTATTGCTCAAATTTAACGTTTTTGTATAGATTTCTTGTTGTTGTTATTGGTGATTAGGAAATAGTTGTAGAGTGCCATTTTTGAAATTTTAAATGTCTTCGTTGTTGAGGAATGATAAAGATTGATGTAAAAGATGAAAAGACTTTAAAGAACATGGAAGCTTTAGTGCTTGGAATGTAGAGTGAGTAGGGCAATTGAATAGACACTGGCTGACGCAAGTTGGGATAACTGAGCCGAATTGGCAGTTTGTCAGAATTGGACTTATGAGCATCTTTACTTTTTGGTGCTTCTTTAAAATGGAATTGTTTTAGAAAGTACGCATTAATCAAGAAAGCAGAAACGCAGAATACGCTAATTCTTTCAACTTTTCCTATTTCCTATTCTGCCGAATGGCTCGGACTGATTCTTTCTGTTTCCCTGGAAAATGCATTGCCGTAACATTGCTCAGTCCCCAGTCTCATTGTCAGCCGTCATCTGCCCCTTTTTGCAAAGAATTCTGGAATTTTCCCGAAAACACAAATTTCTCCATTTTATCACCTGAGCAAAATTGTTTTCAAAGAAAATTTGTCCATTTTTTAATTCCACTGAATTTTGAAAATTTCGCACTTTTTTTGACTTGAGTTTGTGTCACACATTTTTCTATACAAATCGACGCCAAGATCTCAAATCGTGCCAAAATGCGAAACTTGACCCAATTATCACCGATCCATGCAAGTTTTGACCCAAATTTCCCCCGACTAACTCATTCTTGGCACTATTCGACTTCTTGATGGCAAATCCAAACGAAAAGTCTGCTGTGGAAATTCATCGATTGGCATTTCTGCAATTCGGTTAACCTATGAGCTTTCAGCTCATAGGATCTGGATTTCCTGGATCACATTTTTTTTTGGCTCCCGTTTTCACCACATTCGATTTTCAGATAATCGCCTACTGTATCTAGGCCATATCTCGCCGAATCTCTCGTCATATATTCTGAGGACAATCGAAAATGGAAAAAAAAGCGATAAAGGTACAGTAGGGGTCATAACTTTGGACACACCGCGCACGTTAAACTATAATTTGTTCGCTCTTTTTGCTAATAAGAGCTTTTTCTACCGAAATCGACTATTTTATACATTTTTTTTATCCCTTTTTATTATTTCTGCATGAATTTGGCTTTTACTTTCATTCTCATGTATTTTTGAGCTACTTTACCCGAGACACCCACTTTCTAGGGGGTCATAACTTTGGACACACTTGTTGAATACATGGTTTTCTTTGCAAAGGCTCATTGGAGTCCAATGACCCTTTGCATGTTTTCCAATGATTTCCAATGAAGAATGGTCTTGATACATTGCATCGACCCCGGTCTGTCGTTTGTATGTCTCATCATTATTACAGCTCTCTGGAAGGTTCTTTTTATCATTTTACCAATTTCAAATAATTGATTAGTCCTTTTAAATATCGTCTCGCAAATTGTAAGCAGTTCGTTTATGGAGGGCATTTTGTAAATGTCATGCGTTCATGCGTTTCATGCATTTCATAGTTTTGAAAGTACATGCGTTCATACGTTCTTTAGTAAAGTTCATATTTAGTAACATTTCACTTATTGTTAAATTATAGTAAGTGGTATGTTCAATTTTTTCAAGAAGTTTAGGTTGATCTCAATGAACTGGGAATCAATGTAATGAACGCACTTAATGTAAAGAAGATACGAGCATCTAAGCTTAGCTATCAATTTTGGAGTTTTAGGACTTGCTAGATTAAACATTCAGTGCACGGAATATCCGAACAGTTTGTATCGTACTCGATGAATTGGGAATCACTGTAGTGAACGCACTTAGCGTAAAGTAGATTTAAGCATTTTTGTTTATCCATGAAATTAGAAGTTTTAAGACTTGCTGGACTCAACATTCAGGGCAAGGAATATCCAAACAATTTGTGTTGATCTCAATGAACTGGGAATCACTGGAGTGGACGCACTTAATGCAAAGAAGATACGAGCATCTAAGCTTGGCTAGCAATTTTGACTTGCTAGATTTAAGTTTTAGGACTTGCTAGATTTAACATTCAGGGCAGAGAATATCCAAAAAAGGGTGTGTTGATCCCAATAAATTGGGAATCACTGGAGTGAATACACATAAAGTGAAGAAGATTTTGAACATCTAAGCTTAGTGTGGTTTTTTTTGAGGTTCTAGGACTTGCTAGATTAAACATTCAGGGCATGGAATGTCCAAACAGTTTGTATGGTACTCGATGAATTGGCAATCACTAGAGTGAATACACAAAATGTGAAGAATATTTAGGCAGCTTTTTCTAGCTATCAAATTTGAGCTTTAGGACTTGCTAGATTTAACACTCAGGGCAAGGAATATCCAAATGGTTTATGCCGCCCTCGGTGAATTGGGAATCACTGGAATGAATACATATAAAGTCAAGAAGATTTAGGCAACTTTTTTTAGCTATCAATTCTGAAGTTGTAGGACTTGCTAGATTAAACATTCAGGGCAGAGAATATCCAAACAGTTTGTGTTGATCCCAATAAATTGGGAATCACCGGAGTGAATACACATAACGTGAAGAAGATTTGAGCATCTAAACTTAGCGTCAATCTTGTGGTTTTAGATTTTAGGTTTTAGGACTTGATAGTATTAACATTCAGGGCAGAGAATATCCAAACAGTTTGTATCGTACACGATGATTTGGAAATCACTGGAATGGATGCATTAATGTAAAGAAGGTTTTGAGCCTCTAAGCCTAACGTCAATTTTAAAGTTTTAGGACTTGCTAGATTAAACATTCAGGGCAAGGGATATCCAAATAGTTTGTTTTGATCTCAATGAACTGGGAATCACTGGAGTGAACGCACTTAATGTAAAGAAGATCCGAGCATCTAAGCTTAGCGTCAATTTCGAAGTTTTAGGACTTGCTATATAAGTATAAGTTTCAGCCATTAAAACGATAAAGTTGGGAATAGCTTCTTGAAAAAATTGAACGTATCCAAAATCCCAAAATCACTTACTATAATTACTATTACTATAATTTAACAATAAGCGAAAAGTTACTAAACATGAACGCATGACATTTACAAAATGCCCAAATGGAGGAATGCTGTCTCGCTGACGGTCAGATCGAAAATGCAGTTCTTTTTATCTAATCGATTCTTAGGTTTGAGCTTAAGCCGAAAAAAAATTATTATTAAAGGACATGGATATTGTCTTCTAAAATGATTAAATGTCTTCTAAAATGATAAAAGCTTTTGTTTGTTAAAGTTTCTCTATAAAGGCTGAATTTAAATTGCATAAAAAAAGGAGGAAAACACAAATAAAGAAAAAAAGAAATACACAAATCAAAGCTTTAAAAAATTGAAGACAAAGATTTAAAGATTTCATTTTACTAAATTAAGTGTTTAGGAGTTCGAGGTCAGCTTCCCGCCTTTAATTTTTGAATAGACGGGGAAGAGGGTGTCTACCCACTTTTGAGTTGATGAGCAAGGGTTTCCAGAGTCTCAAGAATGGTTTCCAGAGTCTCAAGAATGGTTTCCAGAGTCTCAAGAATGTAATGTGATGCGTAAAACTTTGTCTTTTTGCTTAAATGACTTTAAAATCATTGTTCTTTTTTTTGAATCACTTTTTGCCATTTTAAAATATATTTTTTTCCATTGAGAAATAAAGATTCAAAATTTATGGAGAAAGCAGAAATATTCTTAAAATTTACTGTGCTTTATTTGGGAATGGCAGCAGTGGTGGTGGCATGTAATTGGCGATGATCCACTCGTGTTTCATCACGTCTTTCAACTCGGCTCTCCTCTCAGGCATCAATTCGATCAACTTCTTCAACAAGTCCTGCGCTCGGACGTCCAAATCGGCCGGCAACTGAAACTGATTGTGCGTAAACACTTGCAATCGGATGAAATCTTGCAAACGCTAAATAAGCTTTCCTTTTCTTAGCTGGATAAGCTATCGTTTTCTTAGCTGGATAAGCTACCGTAATAGCTCCAGCTCTCAAAAATTGGAGTAGATTACTGTTATAAAAGCTGTCAGATTCGAGTAGCTATAAAAGCTGTCAGATTTCGTCTTGAGATCTCTCTCTTGTTGGAGATCTCTCTTGTTTTGAGATCTCTCTTGTTTTGAGATCTCTCTCATCTCTCTTGACACTAATCAACAGATCTAGCAAGTCTAAACTCACATGGAAATTGCATTTGCGTATCTTTTCAATGGTGTCCTTTTGGCCTTGTACCTCGAATGGTGGTTTCCCCATTAAACATTCATACATCAGAATCCCGACTGCCCAGTTGTCCACCTGAAAATTGCAGTAAAAAAGAAAAGAAAATATTTTTCGAATACATATCGAACGATCAATTCAAAGAATAATAAACTGAGACTTGTAAAACTTTTTTTGTTTGCCTACAATACGTAGAGAGTACTATTTAACAATGCTTTCTTTTCGTCTACTAGTACTCACCTTGTACGTGTGTGGCTTATGAGCGATCATCTCAGGTGGCAAATAATCCAATGTGCCGCAAACTGTGCCTCGTTTCGATTGACCATCGTGTTGAACGGCCCATCTGAAAAAGCGATTATCGATGAAAATCTAGAACTGACCCAAAATCGGACAACTTCAGATTGCCCTTCTTGTCGATAAGAACATTCTCGGGCTTTACATCTCGATGAATGACGAGACGCTCGTGACAATGCTCGAGTGCGCTTGAGAGCTGATAAATGTATCTGCAAATGGGGGGGAAATCTTTGAATTTTTGAATTTGAGATTTACTTAGCCGTCTCCTCGTTTCGCAATTTCCCTTTCTCACGCAAAATTCGATACAATTCCCCTTGATGACAGTATTCTAACACAATGTAAACCTTGTCGATGTCATGGAAATATCCATACAAACGCAGAATGTTTGGGTGTCTGAAAATAGAAAATAGAAAATAGAAAATAGAAAACAAATGAAAGCAGAATATTGCATGTAAAGAGTAAGTAATAGATAGTGTTTGGTTAAATTGAAAAGTTTCGTTAAAATTGGCTTCAAAATTTGAACCAAATTAGCTACCAAATTAGCTACCATATTAGCTACCATTTCTAGTAAATACAAATAAATATTGACCTCAAATGATACTGTATCTCGACCTCTCTCCTCAATTGATGTGCGACATTCAGTCGAATCAACTCCTTTTTAAAGAGAACCTTTAAAGCGACGATGAAATGCGACGCGTTCTCTCGACACAGATACACGTTGCCGAACTGGAAATTGAAAAGATCTATTGAAATCGAAAAGATCTATTCAAATTGAAAAGAAGATCAATAAGTCCTTGGAATTCTTTGAATCTTCTTTTAAATTTCAGCACAAGATCAATGAAAACCGAACTGGAAATTGGAAAGATCTATTGAAATTAAAAAGATCTATTCAAATTTGAAAAAAGATCTATTGAAATTGAAAGAAAGCTCAATAAATCCTTGGAATTCTTTGAATTTTCTTCCTTAAATCTTTCTTTAAATTTGAGCACAAGATCAATGAAACCTTGGCTATTTTGAAAGAATTCTCTTGAAAAATCAACAAACCCGTCCTTTCCCAAGCGGTCGCCCAATCCCAAAGTCATTCAAAACCCAGCTCGTTTTCTCTTCAGCTTTCATCTCTCCCAAATTCTCCTCGTTTTTCAGTGCCATTTTCTTAAAATATTATATAATATAAATTTATAAAGAATTAAAATTTAAAATAAAAATGCACAAAAAATTTCCTTACAAGGAAATTTGAAATCATCTGCCACTCTTTTTTTTCAAAAATCCCGCAAATTCTTGATGTCGATAGTACAATATTGTTATGAATAGGGTAAAGTAATCAATCGAATTCGAATTTCTATTGTAGATCGTATAATTGATGTAAATATTGTTATGAATGGGGTACAATAATCAATTGAATTCTAATTTCTATTGTAGATCGTATAATTGATGTAAATATTGTGATGAATAGGGTAAAGTAATCAATTGAATTCGAATTTATATTGTAGATCGTATCAATGATGTAAATATTGTTATGAATGGGGTACAATAATCAATTGAATTCTAATTTCTATTAGTAGCTCGTGTTTTCGTGTCATTTTATGTTTGTTAATCTTATTCTTGCATAATGTGAAAGAAAATCAAGTTAAAATCTTTATTTCACTCTAGCAAACTAGGAGAAAATTAGTTTTTGGAGATTTTTTTGTTGCGAATCAACGTCCCCACATCATACCCGGAAAGCCCATGCCAAAGCTGGAAAAAAAATGAGATGACGATTGAGTTTTGAAAACTCACCCTCTTCTCATTCCCCACATTCCACCGAACGGACGTCGCCACATACCCACTAAAAATGTTCAGTGTTACGATTAGAATTAGAATTAGAAAATTGATGATCATTACCGTTTCTTATTAGCTAAAAGTTAAACAATTTTCCTCTAGTTTCTTTAATTTTTCATCATTTTTGACAAAAACTATAATAATTTAACAATAAAATATTCTACAATAATGTCAAGTAATCTCATCAAGTTGAAATGGTGAGATAACCTTAACAAATTCGTTGGATAACCTCAACAACTTGGTTGATCTCATCAACTTGGTTAGATAACCTTAACAACTTGGTTGGATAACCTCAACAACTTAGCTGGATAACCTCACCAACTTGCTTAGATAACCTCACCAAGTTAACACCTTAGCTTTTAACAAAATTAGCATAAATCTAGCTACTTTTCAATGAAATTTCCATGAAATATCAAAGATCTCACTTCCATAGCCGAATTGAGCTTCAGTGACGCTAAGAATGGCCACCAAAAGCACCAAGAGTAATAAGAATTTCATTCTTTTTTTTTGAAGACAATAAGACTGCATATCTTTTAGGATTTTCAGTTATTTTATACTTTTCTAGCATCTTTTAAACCGGTTTTACTCTTTAACCAAAAATCGACTGTACTTTGAATAAAAACAAACGAACTGTTAAGAATAAAGTGCTTTTTAGGATAAACAAAAGTTTAGCCTAGATTCATTTAGCGGAATGATGTCATTTTTTTTTATAAATTATGTCTAGACACTCAAATTTACTCGTTTTTTTCTGTTGTGAAGATTAAACAACCAGTTTCAAAATGAAAGAAGAATATCATATATCATTTATCTTTCATTCATCTTCTTCCTCTATGATAAATGAAAGAAGAAATGTGATATTTACAATCATAAAGAAAAGAAAACTCATCTTTTCAAGTACATCAATGCAAAAGGGAAAGAAAGAAAGAAAGAAAAGAAGAAAGGAAGGAAGAAAGAGAGAAAGAAAGAGAGAAAGAGAGAAAGAAAGAGAGAAAGAGAGAAAGAAAGAGAGAAAGAGAGAAAGAAAGAAAGAAAACAATGAAAAGTGTTGAGTAAACAGAGTGAAACACGGAAATTTGTGTACTTTAGATGAAAGAGGGAAATTGTTGCCATTTCTTCAATGGAATCTATTTGAATTACCTTGAATTTTGTCTTGAAACAAACAAATCACTTTCCTAGAATAGATACCTTGAATTTTAAGTAATACACATAAAAAGCAATACTGAATTTTCAAACCAAAAACCCCCAAACAAATTTGGCGAGTTTGCCCTTTTGAAAATCTTTTTTTAGTTGCCCCGTTCCGCAAATGACATCATTGGATTCTAAATCAAATTCTGACTAATGTTAATGTGCCATTTGGATAAATTTGTCCCATTAGCCATCAAAATCATCGAGAATTTGAGCTTCAAAGTTGAAATCACAATATTTACTGTGAGTGACGGTGACTATGGCTTTAGGAGCCCATAACATATGGGCTTCTCCGCCATTCTCTCCGTTCTTCTCCGCCATTCTCTCCGTTCTTCTCCGCCATTCTCTCCGTTCTTCTCCGCCATTCTCTCCGTTCTTCTCCGCCATTCTCTCCGTTCTTCTCCGCCATTCTCTCCGTTCTTCTTCGCCATTCTCTCCGTTCTTCTCCGCCATTCTCTCCGTTCTTCTTCGCCATTCTCTCCGTTCTTCTCCGCCATTCTCTCCGTTCTTCTTCGCCATTCTCTCCGTTCTTCTCCGCCATTCTCTCCGTTCTTCTTCGCCATTCTCTCCGTTCTTCTCCGCCATTCTCTCCGTTCTTCTTCGCCATTCTCTCCGTTCTTCTCCGCCATTCTCTCCGTTCTTCTCCGCCATTCTCTCCGTTCTTCTTCGCCATTCTCTCCGTTCTTCTCCGCCATTCTCTCCGTTCTTCTTCGCCATTCTCTCCGTTCTTCTCCGCCATTCTCTCCGTTCTTCTCCGCCATTCTCTCCGTTCTTCTCCGCCATTCTCTCCAATTGATCAATTTGAATGTCATTGATATAAAAAATGATCTTTGGTGCTGGTGGTGGGAAAGAAAAGAAAAAAGAAAAAAAACTGGATTCGCAAATCAAAAGACCATAAATGGGGTCTATTCATAAAGCAAACATCAAAAAAAAAATCACTCATCACCATCAAAGTTCATCCATTTTTCTCAAATACATGCTAGCTTAAATATTAGCTTTCCAAAACGTTATATTAATTCAGAAATTACTTATTCTAGCGCTTAGTGGAGTTTTATTTTGCCCAAAAAAATTCTTGGGTAAGCCTATTGGAAAAATGTTGCAAAAAATGGCCTTTTCTATCCGGTTTCACCCCATCAAAGACAAGCCGATCGTTCTTTCACTCAAAAAAAAGCTACTCAAAATCCCATCCGTGAACACACACGTATGCGCTTTTTGTGGTCAACGAGTGCCAAAACCACTTTTCGGTAGAGTGGTTTTGCAAAAAGCAGTATCAATGGTTGATCTCGAAAATTGTTCGAAAACGAAAATCGCATTGTTTTCTTAATTTAGTTGCTTTTTATGTAAAATAATGATTTCCGATGAAATTGTTGTTAAACAGAGCCATTTGATTCCTAGCGAAGATCTGACAAAAATGATCATCTTTAAAACGGATTGATCAGAGACGCTCGGAAAAGAGCACCTATCTAACGGGGACGTTTGCCAGATCGCGAGCGATTACCCGACTGCACAAAGAACATTTCGCTAGTCATTGGGAAGCCAGTCAGAAAAAGATATTTGACTGGAAATTTGTACGCGGGGGTTTTCGGGATCGGTGAATCAATTGAAGCTATTCATTTTATCAAGGCTACCAGTTTATACTGTACAATAAATCAAGCGCAAGGATCTCAAAACGATACACAGAAACACGAGTAAAGGAGATGGGCCAGTTTTTTTTTTGCACGCACACACTCGCACCCTTTGATCCTTGGACCTGTTATTGGGGTAAACAAAAAAGAAAGAACAAGAAAGAACAAGAAAGAACAAGAAATTCGACACACTGCTTACCCTTTCATCTTGCTCTTTTATCCATAACTTGTCCCCAATCTCTTCATTGACCTTTTACCCTTTACCGCTTATTTATGTAGACTCTACGCCTTTTCCCAGGGCTTCTTTTTTGTCTGTTTGCACCAAAATCAGGAATTGTTCCTGATTCAAAAAAGAGATTCTTTTAGCTCCAAGATCGACACCAAATGACTTTACAGAGTCCCCAAGGTAGGCACTAGGGTAGCCTAGACTATCTGAGACCTTGCCTTGGGTTTCACAAAGCCCAACTAGTTTCCACCCCAGCACAATACTTATAAAAGCTCTCATTCAACTGACTGACTGACAATTGAGCAACTGATTAACGTATCAAGTGCCCAACTCGTCATCACTTTTTTTATTCACTTTTAGAACTTACTGTATCTCATTGAGTATGATTTAAAAAATTCTATAGGTTTGCTGACGACTATCCACGTTTCTCTGATTTCTTCAGACTTTCTTTCTTTATTATAACGATATTCAGTTCATTTCCCTTATCTAAATCTTATTCTATTTATATTGATTCAAATTCTGACTTTCAGACTTTCATCAAACAGTGAAAATACAGGATTTTGTTATTAAATTCTTTTAAAATCTCTAATCCTACTTGTCTTCTTGTCTTTTAAAACTTTCTAATTTTTATTAAACCTTGTATATAGACTCAGTTTTGAAGTCAAACAAGAATTCTTTTAAGATCCGATTTTAACTGGCTAACTCTGTCCTGTCTAGCTAAGACCTATCTAGCTAAGACCTATCTAGCTAAGGACTGTCTAGCTAAGACCTATCTAGCTAAGACCTATCTAGCTAAGGACTGTCTAGCTAAGACCTATCTAGCTAAGGACTGTCTAGCTAAGACCTATCTAGCTAAGGACTGTCTAGCTAAGACCTATCTAGCTAAGACCTATCTAGCTAAGGACTGTCTAGCTAAGACCTATCTAGCTAAGGACTGTCTAGCTAAGACCTATCTAGCTAAGGACTGTCTAGCTAAGACCTATCTAGCTAAGACCTATCTAGCTAAGGACTGTCTAGCTAAGACCTATCTAGCTAAGGACTGTCTAGCTAAGGCCTGTCTAGCTAAGGAAAACTTAAGTCCATCAAAGCTAATGACAATGGTTTTTTAAGTGTAGGAGTTTTCCTCTAAAACTTTCATTCTCTTTTTGCAAATGTTTTCCATTTCTAGTGATGTCCAAGCTGAGTCTCGCGGTGCTTTGCGCCATTTTTGCAGTCGCACATGCGCAAATCGTGCCGATTGTTGCTCCATGTTACTCGTCGAGTGGATGTCAATTGGTGAGTCAGTCAGCCTCTACCTGAAACTTATTCAAAATTTGCAGAGTGCCGGGTCGGGCTTTGGTTCTTCATGTGGTTCTTCGTGCGGTTCTTCGTGCGGTTGTTCGACTTCATCGAATAATTGCTGTTGCCCGACAACATCCTCAAACTGCTGTAATACGGGATCGAGCTGTTGCAACACCGGGGTACAGGCTTTAGGCTAGTAGGCTTTAGGCTCAAATGAAGCGTTACCTTTTGGATGAGAATGAGAATTCTCTACCGTAAGACTTCTAGATATAGAGATCCACTTTTTTCAGTCGTCTTGCTGCTCCTCATCATCGTGCAACTCGAACTCGGCACCGGTGAGTGAACGAAAATCCATCCAATCCATCCAATCCTAGATCATCGTGATCCCCTCCTCCTCATCTTGTGGCTCTTCGAGCTCTTCGAATTGTTGTTCATCTTCATCTTCATCTTGTTGTTGTCCATCATCGTCCACCTCGTCAAACTGTTGCTGCAACAATTCGTGTAATTCCAACAGTTCTGGTGGAACGGTTAGTACAAAGATTAGTTACAAAAATTTGTTTTCTTTAAAAAATGAATCTATTTAACAAATTAGACAGAAAGCTAAAAGATAATTCATTGAAATTTCCAGCTCTTGTTGATCCCAGTCAGCTATGGAAGTTCATCATGTTGCACAAATGGAAGTGAGTTTTTTTTTTCTTGTAAAATTTAAAGCACAATTAGTGTACGTTTAAAAAAAAAAAAATGATAAAGATGAAAAGATTACTGTACTTTTTGCTATCCGTAAACCGGTATTTTCTTTGGAGTTGATGTTAATGTTTGTTCTTTTTTTTTTTAAAGATACTTCATGCTGTGGTTATCGACGTTTCATGAGACGTCATCGTCAACAACAAAGACAACAAAAAAGTGAAGAAGGATCACGAAAATTCACGAATCTTCAACAAATTTTGGGTATGAATACTCAAAATGTGAAAATGCCAATTTTACGAATTTAAAAAAAAAACAAATTTCCACTTTTTTTTTTGATCCCTTTTTATCTCAGGTATTTCAACTACAAACTACGAAATTTTTTTAATATTCCTTTATCATTCTATTATCTATTTATTTGTGATAAAGATTTTGATTAATTTGATTGATTACATTGATTGATTACATTTTACATTGACATTTACATTTACGTTTACAGTTACAGTTACAGTTACAGTTACAGTTACAGTTACAGTTACAGTTACAGTTACAGTTACAGTTACAGTTACAGTTACAGTTACAGTTACAGTTACAGTTACAGTTACAGTTACATTTACATTTACATTTACATTTAAATACCAGTATACCAATCAATCTGATCCATTTGATAAATTGAAGAATACCATTCTTCAATTTATCGAAAGATTGGCAAAAATTCAAAATACAAATCGGTTTTTAAAGCTAAACTGCTTTTCTATAATAGAGAAATTTATTCGTTTCCTATCAAAACCTATTATTTGTAAAGATGATATTAGACTGGTTGACAAGTGTATTTCTTTGTGATGGCATTCATTTTCTTTGAGTAACCAGCGCAACATGAAATCCCATTTGGGCAAACAACTGATCCACATTTCACTTGTCGAGTGAAAGAACCGCTAAAATTGAAAGGATAATGGTTGAAGATGAGTCTGCTATTTTCTTCGATTCATCTAGTTAGATTGATCTTATTAGATTGATCTTATTAGATTGATCTTATTAGATTGATCTTATTAGATTGATTTAATTAGATTGATCTAGTTAGAGCTTAGCTTAAAGTTAAGCACAAATCATTCAGATTAAGGAAGACTTTTAAAGGGTAAATCATCTACACTAGACAACTTTAGTAATCTTTAATTTACAGCAATTTACAGTAGTTCTAATCATTACTGTGTTCACTGAGAATTTAGCCGAAATTCGACTTTGATTGCTCCTCTTGAAACACTAGAAACAAGAGAAAAGCCTTTAAAAGCCTTTAAAAAAACTTGTTTAACAAACGCAAACCTGCATTGACATCCAGGTGGAAGACAATATCGTTTCTGCTTCTTTACACCACACATTCCACAACTCTTTGTACATGTGGATACATCAAACCACGATCTCCAAATCCCTTTACACGATTTTGACTAAACAATTTTACTATTCTAAAGCTTTCAATAGCCTACCGCTGTGTTAGCCTTTTTGCAAAACTTTGTCCCATCATAAGCCACTGATGGCGATGATCCAGCACAGCATGCAACTCCAGATGGACAACTCGGATTACCGCACTTTTGTGCTTGAGTAGCAGCGCCACTAAAGTCAACAATTTTTAGAGTTCAAGCCTTTAAGCTAAGCCTAAGCAGATCCAAATCCAGCATCCAGATCTAAACAATAAAGCCGACCAGATCTTTTATTTCTAAATATTTTACCGGCATGGACATCCGTAACTTCCCGATGCACATGTTCTCTTTCTCGTTTGAGTTCCGCAAAGTCCACAACTTTTTGTGCACGTTCCCCACAAACCCCAATCATTCCATAAACCGTTTCCATCTAAATTAAAAGTTAAATGAAATGAATCAGTTTTGAAGCTCATCAAAAGGGAAAAGAAGCTCATCAAAGGACAGAAGGACAGCATTTTGTTGAACTCACTAGAAGGACAACATTTTGTTGGACTCACTAGAAGGACAGCATTTTGTTGGACTCACTAGAAGGACAACATTTTGTTGTTTCAATTGCTGGCGTTGGCGTGGTTGTTGGCAGTTGACAAGTGTACGCTTTTTTCACTCCATTTAACTTCTTTACATACGGAGCACAACAAGTTGGATTCGGAAAGACACACGGGATTTCGGTGAGTGCAATCGTTTGCTCGCTCGATCCACTAGAAATTAGAGAAATATATTAGGTTGAGGAAAAAGTAATGTCGGTTTTGAATTCCCATTGTTGGCGAAAAGTTTCGACTTCGAGCCACTTTGTGGTATGTTTTTAAATAAGGGAAATCGACGAGCTTGGTTGGAAACTTCTGCCCCATGCACCCATGCATAGTCCGGACCTGACCCCAACAGATTATTTTTGTTTCGGTCATTGAAGAGTTTTCTTATGGGAGAAAGGTTTAAGGATCATGCTGAGATCAAAAAAAAGCAGTCGACGCTTATTTTGGCTTGAAAACTCCCTATTTTCTTTTGAGAATGAGATCAGGGACTTGTGACAAAGATGGGAATAAGTCATCAATAATAATTGAGAATATCTCATTGATTGATGTGCGTTTGTTTATGTTTAGCAATAAACCGACATTACTTTTTTCCTCAACCTAATAGAAATAGAGTAGACTTCTCTGATTGTTGATTTACATCAAAAACTTACACGCATTTACATCCATAACTCAACGATAAACATTTGCGTGTTTGTTTCTGTGTGGCACACATGCCACAAACGAGTTTTCTCGATTGACCACCCGGTTGAATATTTCCGACATCGATCCAATCACTCCAGATTCCTGAAAAGAGGATTTTGAAAGAAGAAACAAGAATAACATCACTCTTCAACGCACCTTTCAATGGACAACAACCTTCTGTACAATTGTTGAAACTTGGTTGCTCGACTGTTCGCTGAAAGATTGAATTCTCTATTGAATCTCTATTAACTCAAAAAAACCGTTGGCAAAGGCCCGCACGCGTTCTCGTTATTCCAAACTCCGGTTTTCATCCCTGGGCAACAGGTTTTTCGGGGGAAACTGCACACTCCTGTGTTACAATATTCGACTTTTTGTGCAGCACCCCTAGATTTATTGTAGTAGTTTTTGAAAATCTTTCACTCACTTGCAAGGACATCCTTTAGCCTTCGAGGTACAGGTTCTCGTATGCGTGAGCTTTCCACACGATCCGCAATAATCGGGACATTGTCCTTGTGACACCCATTCCGTCCAAGTGCCTGTAGCTGAGCAACAAGTTGGTGGCTTTGTTGTTGGTTTCGTTGTCGTTTTCTTCGTCGTCTTTGTCGTTGGCTTCTTCGTCGTCTTCGTCGTGGGTTTCTTTGTCGTCTTTGTCGTTGGCTTCTTCGTCGTCTTTGTCGTCGTTTTCGTTGTCTAAATGAATAGATATTTGTTTGATAAGCATTTCCAGAAGAAAGAAGAAAGACATCATCTAGTTTCACCGTTTTCTTGGTAGTGGTGACAGTTGTTTTCGCGGGGACTGTTGTTGCGGTGACTTTCGTCGAAGCGGTATTTGTCGTTGTCGTTGCGGCGGTGGTTTTTGGTGGCACAGTGTACGCTAAAATCGGTTTTTTTTTGTAGAATTGAAATCTTTTTACTTTCACAAGAGAATTCCCCATTCGACGGTGCCCACGTCCCATCGGCGGCACAAGTGTACGTCTCGCTGAAGGTGATCAACTCACCAGTGGCTCCATTGTGATCACCAGATGGACCCTAAACAAAACTAAGCTGCTAATTGAGGTTAAGGATTACGGTAACTCAAATCTATTTATTGATTCTTACAGGCATTACAGTTACAAGTCAACCTTAGTACAACCTTAGCTGGAGTGACTCCATCAGCGAGATATGTCGCCCCATACACATACTCGACTCCTTGGCACGTCACCTTGACCGTCTGAAATTGCTAGAGTTAAAAGGATTTCATATTTTCACAAACTTTACACCCATTTCCATCAATCCCATAGCTAAATGAGGGATCGACGTAGAAGAAAACGGTGTTACAATCGGCTGCTTCGGCGATGATACATGTGCCTGCTGTTTTTGCCGCTCCACAATTACCGCACTCACTTGGTGCTCTCTAAATGATAAGTAAAGTTATTCGAAAATCTTTTCCCCTCCTCTGGCTTCAAGTCTTGCCAATGCTTTGACTGAGAGCCAAAAGCAAACCCTAACTTTGCCTGATCTTCTTTTGAATTTATTACTCTTTCCAAAAATTCACCTATCGTAAATACTGTAATAGTACCCATAATGACGGTGCGGAGTGTTGCGTAGTCTAGCTTTGGACGCGCGGAGTGTTGCGTAGTCTAGCTTTGGACGAGTTTTTCTCGACACTGGTTTATGCTACAATGCGCGCTTAGGTATCAAAAAATAGCTGAAATTTAGGGCTATTTTTTGAAAGTACGGGTGCTTTGGAAAAAAATGAAATACTAAAAAACTTTTGCGACTACCCGACTGTACGGAGGGCGGTGGGGGTACTATTACAGTATTTACGGTAGTTGTTGTTGTTAGTTGTTGTTGTTGTTAGTGGTTGTTAGACGACTTCTTTCCAAATCAGTGACTTTTAAGTCAACCTCAACATTTTTCCATCTTTCCTTCATTCATTTCACCAAATCTACTTCAGAAATCAGGCTTTCGTTTGTTTATTCAATGATTTGTGATTTGTGATTTGTGAATGATTTGTGAATGATTTGTGAATGATTTGTGAATGATTTGTGAATGATTTGTCTCAAAATTCAGCTCATTACCTCATTACAGTATTTACGATAGTTCATCTCAAACTTTTAAACCTTAAAACGGTCATTTAATTCTATTTTAAACAACGATTTGTCTAATCGACGAACAAACGATGTCTAATCGATCGATCAACAAACCTTGAATCGTTCATTTAGCGGCGCTAAGCTATTGTTGAATGAATCCGACAATCTCGCTAATCCAACACTTATCGTTTTTTCTTTTTCTTCATAACTGTTTACATGAATGAAAGAAATAAACGAGAAGATTATCCAAATTTGAAGCATTTTTAACGTCTAAATCGTCGAATTTAAACGTCTAAATTGAAAGGGGAAACTTTAAAATCAACTTTAAAATAAAAAAACCAAAAAAAATGATTTACTAATGTCGGATTTGATTTTTAAAAAGCTATTTATTGAAAGAATTTTTAAAAAAATCTATTTTTGGCTTTAATATTTAATAATTTTATTGGAGAATTGAAGGCATATTTCCCAGTTCAAACGTGATTTCAAAGATCTCATTTTGATGTTGAATAGAATGCAAAAAAAAAGCAGCACCTATTGAAAATAAAGAATATCGAAATGTTTGAGCAAAAAAAAGTTCCAAATTTGATATCTAAACTATGATGACAATTTCAAAAAAGAATCGTTCCCGAAAGCTAAATGCATCGATTTGTAAAAGCCTTTTTCAAATTTGAACACTAGAAATGTACCATCAACCGCCCACACAGAAAACTAACGTGTTTCTGTGCTAGCGTTCTCTCTGACTTTTCAATAAATAACCTTGTTTACTTTTAGTGATTAACTATTCAAATTTAGAGTTTATTTTGTTTTTTTAAAGAATCCTTCAGAATGTTATCAAATAGACTTGATTGAACTTGATTAAACTAAATTAAACAATCCAGCAGTTAATATATATATATGTTGTGTCCGATTTAGATTTCCGTCCGATTTAGATTGAACTTATCGCGGACGTCCGATTTAGATTACAGTCTATATCGGACGTCCGATTTAGATTCAATCTAAATCGGACGTCTTATATAGATTGAACAATAATATAAACATGCTTAATATATGTTCTTAAGCGTTTTCTGTAGTTTTCTGCATTTTTCAAAGGTCTTTTTCTGAAAAGAAAACCCAACTATGAAATAATCAATAAAAGACCTTTGAAAATGCAGAAAACTACAGAAAACGCTTAAGAACATATACTAAACATGTTTATATTATTGTTCAATCTATATAAGATTTAGATTGAATCTAAATCGGACGTCCGATATAGACTGTAATCTAAATCGGACGTCCGCGATAAGTCCAATCTTAATCGGACGTCCGATTTAGATTGAATCTAAATCGGACGGAAATCTAAATCGGACACAACATATATATATATATATATATATATATATATATATATATATATATATATATATATATATATATATATACAGGGTGGCTGATAATTACGTGCGCCAAAGAAAACGCCATAATTTAATTTTCTTTCAAAGAAAATGTAAAAATCTTTATTTATATAATAGTTGTAACAAAAGCATTTAATAATCACAAGAAATTTTCGAAGTGGCCTCCATCCGCTTTGATACAGGCTTCAATTCGCTTCTTTACAGAATCGACGGTGCGGCGGAGATAATTTGCATCTAAGTCGTTCTAGATTTTGATCAATTCTCGACGTAAATCATTCAAATTGGTGATTTTTCTATTTCTCAATTGTTCTTCCATAAAACCCCAAACCGAAAAGTCCAACGGATTGAGATCCGGGCTGTTTGCAGGCCATTGATCCTTCGTCAAAAAAGAGCCAATTTTGGTTTCGAGAAAGCGAATTGAGAATTCGAGAAAGTTGTTTTGGCTCCGTGGGCCGGCGCCCAATCTTGTTGAAGGGTCAAATTGGGATGGCTCCTCTTCCATGGCACGACAGCTTTCTCGAGAATCTCTTTTTGATAGACTTTTGCGTTAATCTTCACATTTTTATCGATAAAAACCAACGGGGTCTTGCCCGAAGCACTGATGCCACCCCAAACCATCAAACTTTTTGGAAACAGACCTTTTGTAGCGACTTTTCGTTTACGAGTGCTCTTGAGAGCTGGACTGAGAAGTTGAAGGTGATTTTGTGAGTTTTTAGTCACTTCCAAGGTGAAAATCTTCTCATCTGACCAAAGAACATCGTCAATGCGCCGCACCTTGAAAAAAGCTCGCAATTTCTTGCATTTCTCCTTCCGGTTTTGCTTGGCTTGATCGGTGAGCACTTGCCCGTTTAACAGTCGATAACTTCGAAGTCCGAGCTCATTTTTCACTATCGATTGAACCGAGAAACGCGAAATTTGAAGCTGTTTTGCCATCTTGTTCAAACTACGATCGTCTTTTCGCTCGATCCTCCTCTTGATGATCCCACGCATCTTTCGGGTGTTAACGGTCCTCTTTGGTCCTCTTCCGGGCTTGGGCTGAACATGCCCCTCATCTTTCCATTGCTTTACGATCTTCTGGACGGTCCTCAGAGCCACCCCAAGCCTCGATGCGATCGACGAGTTCTTCATGCCGCTCGTCGCCAGCTGTGCGATTGCGTCCCGACTAGCGCACGTCTTTGTCATGACCTAGAAAACAACTTTTTTAACAAAAAATTATTAGACCACGATAAAAAGAATATTAAAACACAAAAAGATGAGTAGTAATGCTTTATACATTGTTTAAAACTATGATGCTAATGCTGCGCGCACGTAATTGTCAGCCACCCTGTATATATATTCATACTTTATTCAGGACATGAAATAAAGCGTAATCAGTCAGACAATACACAAATCTACACAATAAATACATAGAGAAAGATGAGATATTTTACTCGGCGATGTGGAGGCGGGGAGAAAAGAAGATAGATAGAAGATAGGCTTCTTGCTTTAATAACCTCAAGCCATGAATGGGCCAACCCAGTGGAAGAGTGAACTCCGCTAGAGAAGGGATCTCTAGTCAGCTCTAGAGAAGAGACCTCTAGTCTGGGCGCACGGGCTAGGGAAGAGAACCCTAGGGGGGCCGAACCCCACACCCTCAGTTTGGAAGTGAGCACTTAACCCAAGCATTCAAATGATACTTGAATTGATTCGATGAATCGATTGAATGAATCGATTGAATGAATTGATTGCTCTATTAGTCTCTTTTCCATGTAATACCTAGTCTTAGCTTCCTGCATTTTCGTGAACTTCTCTTCTAACCATAAGTCTTCCTTAGCTTTCTTATAATCTTCAACTAATGTTTCTATGTTAGAACTAGCACAATTGGAATGTACACTATTAGAAGATGTATCTTGTGGTTTGGGTGATGAGATTTGAAAATGTTCCATTCCATCGATTTCTTCAAACTCGTCATCGGGATGTTGAAATTCCAGATCCCCAGAAGTTAAATCAGACATCTGAAGAAAGAATGACAAAATCGAATATTTTTAGTTTTAGAAGAAAATACAAAATAGTACCCAGCTCAAAGAGGTGTATTTAAAAAATGAACAAATTACCTCTAGTTTAAAGCGAGATATTCGACTTTGAAGGATAATTTATGCAAGAAAAGTAGAAAAATTTTGAGCAGAAAATTGTTGGGTGTGATCACTTTTCTCTCCTTTGATCGATTTCTCCTTTTTTCTCACGCCGCGATGTGATTTATCGGTGTTCAATTGAATCAAAGAGTGAACTGGGGAGAGTTTCACACAAAAAACATCGTTGAAATTTTTGATCTTTTTACGATTATTTAAAAAGTAATTCTTTGTTTCCATTCAACTTCAAAAGAATGTTGATTATTTGCTGGGTTGGCTCAATTTCGCGGTTGAACCAAGTGCGCGCAACGCGTTGGGCTAGAGTGGAAGAGAGTGACGCGTCTGTGCAGAGACGCAGAGAAAGGCGAGAGTCATCCATAAGCATCCGTGTACGGAGAAGAGTCTTAGTGTTCCTCTGTAGTTCACGTTGTGCGTGATTTTACATCCATAGCTATCATTGTTTTTCTCCATAAGTTAGGTAGTTAAGGAAACCGGGAAGGCAAAAGGATTTCTGTGTAAAAGCTAGAACCATCGATGCTAATTTTGATAAATCTCAGTTGATTTTAAGTAGAATTTCGAAAATTTGCATATGAAACACGCCAGAAATACTGGGGAAAAAAAAATCATTTTCATTTTCTCCCTTTGTTTGTTTCCGAATTGTCGGGTTCCCCTTGTTGTTAAGTTTTGCTTTTTGTTGTCATAAAATTTACGTCCTTTTACTTAATTTTCTAAAGCACGCACAGTATTACGCCAATTAGAAGTAATAATTCTACTAAGTTGCGGTGCACTCTAACTGTGCTAATTTTTTTCCGGAAATGGGCGCTTTTTCTTTCTTTCTTTCTTTCTATCTTTTCCTATCTTAAAGAGTTTGTGTAAACAATTAATTCTTTATTTTCAGATACCTCGAAATCTCGAAATGGCTCAGACGATACAAATCAAAATGATGGACAAAGAAGTGAAATTGGATCTGCCGGACAATCTGATCACCAAAAGCACTATCAAATCTGCATTTTTACTTGACGATGATGCAGTTATTTCATTGTCGTATGGATGGGATGATCATCAAAAATATTGTCGGTAAGTTACTTTATTTCTGATTATAAAAATATTTTATCTGATTTGGTTAAAGTTTAATTATTTCTGATCTTATTTCAATTAATTTAGAGTGAATGAAGCCGGCACGACGTTTTTGCTTCCGGATGGATGGCCCGCTATCCAGTTTTTCGTTGACTCGAATAAGGCACCTTCGCGACCGGAAACTCCTGCTGATATCGAAGGTTTGTATGATTTACAATTGAATTTATTATCTTTCATTAACAACTTTAGTTTGTATGTTTTTATACGAAAAGGATTTTTACTTAAATATTCATTTTAGCACAATTTTCGGACTACAAACGGGATCCTGAATCGCCCTACGTTATTGATGGTATTATATTTTAAATAGTCTAACAATTTATTGCTGGTTTTTAGAGAAACTGGCGAGCGAACTTTGCAACCGGCTCTTCTTTGCTCCTCGAGCTTAACCTTGTTTACTTTTAGTGATTAACTATTCAAATTTAGAGTTTATTTTGTTTTTATAAAGAATCCTTTAGAATGTTATCAAATAGACTTGATTGAACTTGATTAAACTAAACAATCCAGCAGTTAACCCAAGCATTCAAATGATACTTGAATTGATTCGATGAGTTGATTCAATGAATCGATTCAAGCTATTCATTTTATTGAGTCTATCAATTAACTTGAGTAATTGATCTAAACATTTATCTTATCAAATATCAAACAAAACTTGATTGAACTTTATTAAACTAAACAATCCAGCAGTTAACCCAAGCATTCAAATGATACTTGAATTGATTCGATGAATCGATTCAAGCTATTCACTTTATTGAATCTATCAATTAACTTGAGTAATCGTTCTAAACTTTTAGAGAAACTCGAAAAAACGGTGATTTGATTGGTCCAGTCTCTATTTGATATCATTTGAAAGGCTGAGAGCCTAAAGGCCTAAAAGCCTGAAAGCCTAAAAGCCTCAAAAGCCTAAAAGCTTTTCTTTCACTCTATCAAAAAACAGCAATAATATAATCTCTAGATAAAGTTATAACTCTTCAAAGCTCAGCAATCAAGACAGAGACCAGAAAAAGAAAATCTTTCGTTTTACAAGCTAACTGTTTTATAAGCTTTTCATAGTGGATAGTGAATTTTGTTTAATTTGTTTGTTTGTTTGTTGTTTGTTGTTTGTTGTTTGATTTGTTGAATTGAATGCCTCAGAAAGGAGTTCCGGCATTCAACGCAAACAGGAAAACAAATAAATCTTAGTTTTTGATTATTAAAAAGAAAAACTAAAAACTTACTTTCATCATCATTGTCTTGAGGTTGACTTGTTAAAATAAATGGCATACGAATTGAGTTGATGCTTGTTTCTCCAAGTTTATGAGAGCCTCATCTAAAGAAAAATATAATGGAATGATGTAAAACAAAAAACAAAATCAAACTAAAAACTTGAAGAAAAATAAGAACTTTTAAATAAAACGTAAAAAGTGAGCATTCATTTCGTATCTATTAGATTACGCAACGCATGAGTTCCACCCGGTACTATATACCGGGTGAATCGGGTGAACGTTGACGCCACACGTTGGCGCCACACGTTGACGTCAACCTTCCTTCTGAAAGTGCGACAAGTTCTGAAATCAACTGAAATCATCTACCTCTTATTGTTATATTTTAAAGAAAAGTCGAAATATCACTCGAATACAATCCCGAAAGTTTGAGATAAATCATTTAGCTGTTTTTTTGGTACTTGTTGTTGTTCTTTTTTAAAATCATTTTTATTTTTTGCTAAATATAAAATTATATGGAAAGAGCTCAAGGAAATTTTTTACAAAATGCGATTTTTAAACATTGATCTTCCAAAATATTGTAGTATATTAAAAATACAATAACATTTCTGTTTCAATGGAAAATCTAATAAGGAAAATACGATTAAACAACTTTTTTTTCACTATCGTTTCTTAAGTGCATAAAATTGATTAAAAAGTAAAAGTGCATAGAACTTTGTGGAGCAGTGTAGTTACAGTAATGTTAGCCAAAAGAAAACCATAAGCTGATATGAGAGTAGAGCAATCTTGAAGTGCGGTCTGTTGATCTTGCATCTTTCTTATTTCTTGTCTTCTTTACCCATTTTTTATTGAAAATTGTTGAACAGAGTTTATCATTTACTTATTACAATTGAAAAAGTGGATTTGTTGAATGAATTTTCCCGTTTTCCGTTAATTCTTGATGCCATCGTTGAGAGCGATGGCTTGGTTGATTGGGACGAGTTTCGTCATTAGCTGACTCATCTAAAAACATAAATCTCAATTTAGAAATGTTATTGTATTTTTAATTCTAAAGATTTGTCTTTTTTTTCCTTTACTTTGTCCTCCATTTGTCCACGAAGCATTCTGCCGAGCTCAGCCGCTCTTTGACAAGTTCTGAATTTGACAATTTGATAAACCAGTTTCACAGTATTGTAATAATCTACTTTACTATTAGTACAGTAAAGAATAATGCACTAATAGTACTCGAGAATCATAGCAATTTACTCTACATATCCCAGTTTACATACAACTCCAAGAAACTCATTCGAATCAAAGTATTCAATGATTAAATGATTAAATGATTAAATGATTAAAATTGAATGATTCCGATTCTATTAGCCTTCAATCGTTTCATAGAATTCAATTCGTTCAACGTTTTCATTTAGTTTCTTTGATTGTCAGTTTTTAAAGTAAAATCTTGATTTTAGATCTTTGAATTAAGACTTTTTAAAAAGCGATTGCAAATTTCTTAAAAGAAGCTCACGTCGGTGAAATGCAAACAGCGTTCGCATATGGACAGCACCCGTCAACATAGAGAGTGTTACCATCTTGGTGGCAACAAGCGGTACCTCCTGAAAAAGAATAATAAATGTTGTTAAAGGAATAGTTAAACTAGGCCTTCCAGACTAAACAAAAGGTTGCCTAGCTCTAGAACATTAATACTAAGGTTTGGATCCAAATTTCGATTGATAAACACGAAATACTTACCACCACCACATCCAATGTTGGGTGGACATGTGAACTCGCCACCAGCAAACTGAAATCAAATATGAATTCGTTAAATGAAACTTTCAGCCTCTACTTTCTGCTTTACATTGAATGAAACTTTACAGGTCCAATTTCTTCTTTTTTTCTAGCTTTCTAGCACTTTAGCAAAGCTATTAGATGTTTTAACACAAAAGAAAACTCACCACCATTGCCACAAGGCAGAGAAAGGCAACAAGGAGTTTCATTATACGGTTTCTTTTTTTGTCTAAAATACAATTCAATTTGAGATACGGAGATAAATTTGGATAAAAATGAAGATTGATTGAGATGATGAACTGACTTTTGACTGGTTAAATTAGTTTAAATAGTTTTGGTTAACTTTGATGTAAAACGAAAACTAGCTAGACTAGAGCAGTCCAAGAAAAACTATTGTTATCAAGTTCTCATTCAATCTACTTCAAACTACTTCAATCTACTTCAATCTACTTCAATCTACTTCAATCTACTTCAATCTACTTCAATCTACTTCAATCTTTCTACATAAGCCTCAACTAAAGAGATAGATTGAAGCATATTGATCGATTGAAGATTAATGATCTCATTCAATGTATTTAGATTGGACATATTGGATTAGAGTGGTTTATTTTAAAAAGAGCTTTTAAAGGTTATTCAAAAGAGAGTGTGAAGTGAGAGTGTTGATCAGTTTGAGTTTATATACATTCGAGACTCTTTTGAGCTTCTTTTGAGCAAATTTTCTCATAAATTTTTCTCATTTTCTTACAAAAGATAAGTTTTACGAGTTTCAATAATAAAGGTGGAGTT